CACCATCAACCCGGCCCCCCGCCCCATCCTGACCCCGCCCCATTATCCCGGCCCCACTCAGGCCTTGTCCCACCCTAGTCCCAATGCACTCTTTTCCAAAGAAAATGCTACTTGTGCATCTTAGTATTTGTAATTACAGATGTCGCAAAAATAAGTCTTGATTGATAAGTGAAGCACGCATGTTAAACACAATTGCTATGTAATTAAAGTTCATCTTAGAGCATAGTATGGATTATGCTGTCACTGGAATGTTAAGAATTGAGAAAGAGAAGGAAAACCTCTGTAATATGCAGACCTTGGTTCCTGTTAGTGGAAACACTTTAAAGCCCCAAGTAGGAAAGTTTAAAGTGTTTAAGTGGAATGAAAGCTAGCAGGAGCCCAAGGAAAGATTTTACATCAATTTGCTGTTTTAAATCAACCCAGTGATCTGACAGAAGCTAACTAACAGGTTTCGGCCAATGAAGAATATTAACACCTTGCAGATTAGTGAAGGAAAAACACTTCTTTGAAGGTGATAAATTTTAAATGCTTTCAATTTTTTTTGTAAAGAATTGTGGTTATAAATTTTATTTCTATTGCATTCTTTATATATACATGTTTTACTTCCATTTGGTAGAGAACCTTTTTCAAGGACCTTAGAAGTGATGTGAACTTTATTATTATGCAATATAACGAAGCATTTTCTCTTTCTCTCTTTTAAAGTAGAAACAGAGAGGAAAATGCAGCGTTAAAAGTGGCAGCTATGCGGCAGCTCCTAAGAGAACTATGGCAACGTCAGGTGACTGCCCCGGAAGCGAACCTCAGGTAAGTTCTGTTCTGGCGTGTAGGAACCAGATCTTAAGGACTGTGAACACTACTGAGAGCTGAGCTCAGCCCAGAGCGATGGCGCATTCCTTGTACTCGTGAAAGTGGCCACCAGCCCCGTGATGCTTAAATATGGGAAGCGGTCACAGGTGACGTTCTCAATTGTGCATTGTAAGAATTTCCCAGGAGTCTAGGATTCCGTTCTTGGTACCTGGACTGGTGAAGCAAGCACATTTTCTTAGTTGTTTAATAAAGTCCGTGGCATAATGTGTTAAAGGAGATCACACATATTAAGAAAAGATTTGTGTATTCATACTGCTTCTCTGCCTGGGACATACAAAGTTTCATTCAAGTTAGCAGTAAAAAAAAAGTGACTTTAAAAGTCTAAGAATGTCGATTACATAACATTAAAAACCAAATGAATACTCAAATAATGTTCTTTAAAAATCAAACATTTTTATGTCTGTCATGTTAATTTTAACATATTTTTCCTTTCATTCTAATGATTCTAATTTCATTTGGGTTTTTATATATAAGAATTTTATTTATAGTTGGGTCATTTTATTAATCTGTTTCTTAAAATTAATCACAAAATGTTTAATTCCGTGGATGTCTCATTTTTCTGCTGAGAAATAGAAAAAAATATTAGAACATTTACAGAATACTACTGCAAACATCAAGTACATGTGACACAGAAGTCTTATCTTGTTAGCATTTTGTCATGTTTGCTTCAGAATACACACAGTATATAAAACAAACTTATAGATAACGTTTCTTCCCCAACCCCAGTCCCATTCTTCCTCTTTCTCCAGAAGCAAACACAACCATGAATTAAGAATTGATCTTTGAGCTTCTGCACCATTTTTTATACTTTTATGCCTTGCGTAGGTGTCTTCCGAATCTGCCTAAGTGGCATCGCATTCTGTGTGTCATCTGCGGCTTGCCGTTTCCACTAGTGGAAATTGGGGAATTTGTGCTTGATGTGCGTGTAGAGCTAGTCCTCAAGGGTGCTTCAGCGACGAGTTCCTATATGACCGATGGGTACATAGGTCCGTGTACAGTAGGTGTACACCACATTGTATTTATTCCCCTTTGTTGGACACTTGACATGTTTCCAGTTTTTTCTCTTTCTACGGGTGTTGCAGGGAACCCCTTGTGTACACGTGCTCTAGGGCATGTGCCCGGTGATGGCATCACAGGCTGGAAGTGGCTACATGTCTGCAGTTTTACTAGATGGTGATCAGTTGTTCTTCCAAGCGGCCTTACCAGTTCATAGGTCTGCCAGGAGCCCGCAGTGCTGGCAGACACGTGAGAGCATTGGACTTTTCAATTTTAGTCTGATAGATTAGAAATGGTATCTTGTTATTTTAGTTTTCTGATCACTTGTGAGTCGAATTGAAATGTCGTTTAAGTTTATATTGAAATATTATTCCAATATTTGTGTTCATCCTGGTAACAGCATCCATTACAGAAGAGAGGCCTCATTTCCACAGTTTGTGTTTTATTTCTTTTTCCTTGTGTTCAGTCTTCTTAGTTTTTATCTTTTCAGAGAACCTGTTTCTTTGTTGATTTTCTCCTTGTTCATCTATTGACTTCAGCTTTTATCTTTATTTTATTCAATTCTATTTGGGTTTAATTTACTCTTGTTATAGCATCTTGAGATGGAAACTGGGATCACTGATTTTAAACCTTTTTTCTGTAACGTATGTCTTAAAGCTTTAACTTTTCCTCTAATCCCTGCATTAGCTGCACCCCATACATTTAAATACATTGGTTTTCATTATTCAGTTTAAGTACTTTCTAATATATCACAGTGGAAATAGAAATTTTGTGGGCTCTTCAGAAACGTGTTGCTTTATTTCCAAACATTGGGAAATTTGACTTATCTTTTTGTTACTTAATTTTAGTTTGATTATATTTGGTCAGAAAATATAACATACTCTGTAAAATTTCCATCCTTTGGAGTGTATTCAGGCCTGCTTTATGGTCCAGTCAATGGGCTACTTCAGTGAATGTCTCACGTGTACTTGCAAAGAGTAGACATTCTGCAGTTGCTGGGTGAATGTCAGTGAAATCTCCTGGGCTTTACTGTTGTTCAGAGCTCTATATCCTTTCTGATTTTTTCGTTCATTCGTTCTTTGAATTAGTGAGTGAGGTAAGCTTTAAAAATCTCTGCTGTGATTGTGGATTTGTCTTTTTTGTTTCAAGATATGTCACTTTTTGCTTTGTCTATTTTGAATCTTTTTTGACTCATAGGTTTAGGGTAGTTTTTGTTTTTTCGGTTAATCGGCCCTTTTATTTTTACAAAACCTTTCTTTTTACCTGTTGGCACTTCCTGCCATCGATCGCCTCTGTCTCTGTCGCTGCTCCAGCCTTCTCCCGGCTCGCGCTTCCCCCCGCACTCACCGGGACGCTCGCCTCCGTGTTCAGCCCTCCTGGTCCCTTAGACTTCAAGTGCTTCCCTTACCAGGAGCCCACAGCTGTGTCCTTTTTGTTTCTGTCAGATAATTTCTTCCCTTAATCGGAGTGCTTAGTCTGTTAACACTTAACGTGCTGACTGATGTGATTGCGTCTGCCGTCTTGCTGTTCGTTATCTTTGTATCGCATTTATTCTTTGTACCTTCCTCCGTTCTTGCCTTCTATGGATTAATAAAGTATTTTCTGTAATTCTGTGTTATCTCTTCTATTGGCTTTTTTGCTGTTCTTTTTGATATTATTTTAGTTGTTATCCAAGAAACTGCAGTATGAATCCTTAACCTATTCCAGTCTTGAACCTATCTACTTCACGATAGGAGAACCCTCAAGTTAGTTCCATTTCCAGCCCCCATTTCTTGCGCTATTGTTGTAACTATTGTACTTCTCTCTATATATTATAAATCCCACAATAAATTGCTGTTGTTTCTTTATACTGTCAAAAGGCTTTTGTAGGATCTGTACATCTCTCTGGAAAAAATTAAGGACAGCGGTAATGCCTGTTGCTGCTGAGTGTTCAGGAAGAGGGTCCTCCACGTGCGGCTGGTGAAGTGTGATGTGTTACAGATTTTATGGAAAGGATCTGACAAATATTCGAATAAAAGCTGTGCAGTCTATGCCACAGAAATAAAATGTCATCACATGAGGATGAATGTGCACAGATGTTTATGGCAACACTGGTTAAGGGGGTAGAAAACCGGACACCAAAAGAAAGCCCCTCAGTCTAGGGTGACCGAAGAGGCAGCTGTGCGGTCACGTCGTCACTGGGAAGAGCCAGTCAGGGTGCTGACCGCCGGGCAGTTTTCCACAAGGTCCTGTGTGAGTGAAAAAGCAAAATTAAATAAGGATTCGTGGTGTCCTTTGCGGAAAACTATATCCAAGGAAAAAGCCCACGTGTGTGACGCGAGCTTGGAGGAAGTGTGGGAGGGTGTGCGCCAGGTGACCGATCAGGGTTAGGGGTCGCAGTGAGGGGCGTGGTGTGGGTGGAGCGCGGTGGGGACAGGCTCTGAAGAAGGTGGTACTGTGCTAAGAGCCATCACGTTACCGTTCACGACAGGAACATGTGGAAAGGGGATACAGGGGCAATTAGCCAAATAAAGCAGGTGACCGGTAAGTGCTTAGAAAACACGTGTGGCCTCATGGTAATCACTCTCAGGTGGAAGCAGCAGGCAGGTCGTGTCTCCTGTCACACTGGCGGAGATCAGGGTGACGTGCACTCACTGCCTCCTAGAGCGCGGGAGGGCGCAGCGTTCACTCCCGGGTGAGTCCTGCGCCCACAGAGGAGTCTCAGGAGCCCGTGTCTGGAGGGCCGTTGGTGTCAGTATCGGAATTCATCAAAGCGTGTATTGTCTTGATCCGTGAATTTGACATTCAGAATTTATCCTAAGAAAATTATCAGACAAAATGATTTACATTTCGGAAAGTTAATCTTCACGTAAGTCATACTACTAAAAACTGAATACAATTTAAGTCTCCAAAACGAGAAGATTGGATAAGTAAGTTTTGTTGCTTCATAGAATGGAATACTATCAGGTATTAAAAATGTGGTGATTAGAAGTATATGTAATAACGAAGGAAAATGTTCAGAATTTAGTAGTGGAAACGAGGCAGAGGGCAGAACTGTATGACGTTGATAAACACCCTGATGCACGTGTTATGCATTCACTTTAGGAAAAAAAGCCTGAAAGGGTGTAAATGTTAATCGTTAAATTATCTCCCACCAGCGAGGGAGGCTGCAGCTGATGGTCATTTTCCTCTGCGTTCTCATGCTTTCACACAGTTTCCGACGCGAACAGGAAGTGCCTTAATGTTCAGGAAGGTTTGTTTGCAATGCGTATAGTGAACTGGGTTGGTCCGGTGAGCCAAGACCGTGATTGGAAGGTCTGCCAGCTCCGGCGATGTCCCCAGGCACACCCCTTCTCATGAAGAGGGAGAGAGATGGGAAGCGTGCGTGCTCCCAGGCCTAGGGCCCCCTCCTGGGTCCTGAGCAGCAGTGGGGCCCAGTTAAGCCACACGGGGATCCAGGTTCCCCGCTCCGCCCCTGGGTCTTCCGTGAGGCCCACTCAGCTCTGTCCTTGGGCCTGATGAGGACCCAGAGCCCAAAGACGGGGCTTTCTTCCCCCTGGGACTGGGCGTTACTTTCAGGAAGCGATGCTGATGGTTAGGGGCCAGTCACTAAAAGTGCCCTCGTCTTCTTTCTTTGCTGTCTCTTGAGGATGCAAATCATTTTGTACTAGAGATAAAAAGTAATGGTGGCTGTAGGTAAGAGCCCTTGATTCTGCGAGTGTCGATGACCCAGACTGCTTGTGGGATAAAAAGTGGGTCACGTTGAATCTTCATTTGAAACCATCCTGATAACCTGGAGCCAGAGAGAGCGAGAGGGAGCCAGAGGGAGACAGAGAGGGTGACAGAGACACACATAGACAGACAGAAACAGGGGGAGAGACGAGGGAGCAAGAGGGAGACAGACAGACGGCAGAGAGGGACAGGAAGGGCACCCCTGGTCACTCCCGTGTGCTTGCTCTGCGCAGGAGGGAGAAGCCGCCGTGCAGCACTGTGAGGAGGCCGTGCACCCCGAGGAGTTCGTGGCCATCGCAGACTATTCTGCCACCGACGAGACACAGGTAGCTGTGCGCATCAGATGTGTGTGTGTGGATTCAGCGTGTTGAGTGACAGTGGGTGGAATTTTCCAGAAGTCCTAGCGCGGCCAAGTGAGGAGCATTCAGATTCATAGAGCCATGTGAGGCCATGAGGGGCCCGCCTGCTCCTCCGGCCTGAGGAATTCTGTCCCCAAGCCTGGTGCGAAGGGTCCCTGGTGAGGAATGGGGAGGAAGTACCGCTCCAGTGTCTGCTTGGAAACCTGGACTGAGAACTTGTTCTGGTTAATGAAAAATAAGGTTGCAGAATAAAAACATCCACTTGTCCGTGGCTTTCTTTCCTTCGTAAGAGGATTCCTTAGCGTCAGCTACCACGTATCTGAGTGTCGGTGGAGAGGCTGTGGAGAAATTCTGTCCTGAGCCACCAGAAGGTGCTTCTTTAAAAACAATCGGTTAAGGTGGGCTTTCCCCCAGGTAGCCAGCCGCCCTCCAAGCCCTGGGCGCATCGCCCTGACCCGGTGGCTGGCATGAAGTTGCTGTGACTGGGCTCAGGGTCGGGGGTTTGTCACGAGGCCGCAGTTGAAAAGACAACTACAGATTTTCCTTGAATGTTCCCTTCTGTGCATTCCTTCCAGCTCAGTTTTCTGAGAGGAGAGAAGATTCTCGTCCTGAGACAGACAACTGCCGACTGGTGGTGGGGCGAGCGTGCCGGCTGCTGCGGGTACATCCCCGCGAACCACCTGGGCAAGCACCTGGAGGACTGCGACCCCGAGGACACATGGCAGGACGAGGAGTATTTCGGCAGCTACGGGACCCTGGTACGGGCTGCTCGGGCTGGATTCGCGTCTCTGGTTTTAGATTCTCACTTTTAAACTCAGTCTCTGGGCTTCTGCTCGTTGCTTAGAGCAGGGCTTAGCAGGCCACACGGCTGACTTGTGGCCACTCAGCTCTGCCATTGTGTGCCATCCACTGCTAGACACGAAGAAGCAGCACAGCTTGTTCAGGAAGCGTCACCTGTGATGCCGAGACTGGAGTTTCACATAACTCTCGTGTGCCATGTTCTTCTTGTTTCCTTTGTATTTTTCCATTACAGGTGACATTCAGGATTATTTTATATTCAGGTGTATAGCATACTGACTAGATACTTATGTAATTTACGACGTGGTCCCCCGAGGAGTCTGGCACCCACCTGGCACTGCACGTAGTTACCACAGTACTACTGACTGTATTCTCTGTGCTGTACATACTCTTCTTTTGATTTTTAAAAACCACTTAAAAATGTAAAAGTCATTTGTAGCTTGCAGGCCGTAGAAAGCTGGTGGTGGGTTAGCTTGGCCCCTGGACGGTAGTGAGTTAGCTCCTGGTTTAGAAATGTCATCTGAGCAATGTGATTGTGAACTATTCGCAGTATTTTTTAAAAATTAATATATATTGCTCTAAAAACAATACAAAAGGAGTTATGTAAACCAACAGTAATACCTCTAAATACCTAGTTGTTAGTTTTTTCAGTGTAAGGACCCATAATCCTGTGGTCCAAACAAGCACATGTATATTCTGAAACGAGGTAAAAACAGGTACTTGCCAGATGGATTTTGCAGACACAGCGCGGAGGGAAAGGGGCAGGACACCCGAGGGAACCTGAGTGACGAGGTGTGTGAAGTGCGAGGCCGCGCGTGTGTTTGTGGGGGGCGCAGGGCCGGCGGGCGGGGAGCAGTCGGGGAGCAGGCGCAGCTGGCTGCCATGGTCCTGTTGAAAAAGTGCCCGGCCCTTAGACGTCACATTTCACAATAAAAATGCCAAAGTAGACGGACCTCGACGTTGTGCGTGGTGACGCAGCGCATGACGGCCTTTCGGTCAGGGCGGCCACGGTGCACGCTGCCCATGCCGGCTCCACGCCGGGCCCGGTCTGCCGCTGGACGGAGTGGCCGCGGCGGCCTCAGAGCCGCCCCGGTGGCCGGGCCAGGTGGGCCAACGGGTAATCCGGGGCGCCCCCTCACTGCGCTGGTGTCTCCGTAGCGGCCGCTCGCCCGCCCCGCTCACGGGCGTGTGTTCAGAGATCGTCTTCACAGCAGCCGCAGTGTGGGGCGACTCAGAGGACCATGTTGGTGGACACTGCTGATCTGACGCCTTTGTGGCCCCTCCGTGTCCTGCCGGGCGGGTGCAGGGTGCGCTTTCTCGTTGGGTCCCGCCCGCCGCACTGCTGGGACTGCGCCCCTGTCCCCCGAGGCGCCTTGCTGCGGAAGAGGTCCCAGCCAAGGTGGAGCACGGCATCTGATCTCCACTTTCCAGAGTGGGATCAGGCATTTATGTTTTATCGGACTTTTGTGTTTCTTCCTTTTCTGGAAAACTTTCATATGTTTTGCACCTTTAAAAAAATTTCTGTCTATGTAAATGTTAAATGACAGTTTAGCCAGGACACACGTCACACCGCTTGCCACTGCCTCCCTGGAACCTCTTGCCTCTGAGTGGTCTGATTTATCTTTCTTTTCTGTGTGGCTTCTGGGTTTTGAGTCCTAACTTTTGAAGACCTGCACTGCAAGATTGTGAATACCCACACTTTCCGTTAGAACTTTTGGGATTCCATGTTTTACAATGAAGTACTCAAATCAGTATTTTACTTGCAAGAAAAAAGTGAGAGTCTGACTTAATTTCCCCACAAAC